CAGTTTCTTACTCTTTATCATTTAAATTTTAATAGCTACGCTAATTTCCACAAGCGCTGAGCGTGTTTAACAATAATTCGTCGGAGTGAATGTTCACGTGGCTGTAACAATTTAAGTGATTGGGCCGATTGTTCCATCTTTCGGTAAAGTTTACCTGTTAGGTAAATCTGGCAATCCGCGCATGTGATTGGGCAATCTTGCTACTTACCAAACAGGTAAACTTTACCAAAAGATGGACCAATCGACCCTAAGAGTGAGAAACTGATAATGCAGTATTAAATTCATGATTTATAAGTTTCGTAGACATATGTATATATTTAAAACTTAATAATACTCGACTTTTATTAAAAACTTTTAACGTTATCATTTCCGAGTTTGATTATTAATAGAGATGATAAGTGCAAAGAAAAAATTATACATTTTCGGCAATATATATAATATATTATGTCATTAAAAATATGCGTACTTATTATATAGCATTTATATAATAAAAGAATTACAAATTTAATAATGTATTATCGAAATATTTATGTTTTTTAATAATCGTAAATTTTTCTTATCGGTTATTTAATTGTCGATAATGTCATCGGTCTACAATAATTATCCACTGGCCCCTCAGGCCTCAATAATAGTTACTAAAATTTACCCAAAGCCGACGGTCTTTAATAATATCTCGTCAGTGCATAAAGTTATAATCAAAATTTTGCATAATAATTTTACAATTAACTGTACAATACTGCAAAATAAAACAAACAAATAATACAAGGAACAAATACACTACCAAGTAAAGTCTAACGATCTAAATCGTAAAATATAAAAACATTTATGAGGGGATGTTATTTCAGATTATTATAGTTGCGATTCAAGACCGACGATTGTTCGGAGCGCAAGTTCGAGGGGAGGGGAGATTACATATATTATATTAGATAAATATTGTGAAGAATATTACTACGTTGACCTGCCATAAAAGGTCTATCGATATTCGCAAATTCTCACAAGTGTTTTGACATGCGTATATTATATATTAGACTGTGTTGACGAATGACCGACCTCTGCGGATTCATTCGGGGGCTTCAGGATAGGTTGTGTGTGACGAGAAAAGACCCCAGCTCCAAGCCCAGCGCTGTCGGTCCACTTTAAGGGGTGCCTCATCGCGATTTTCTATTTCCCATTTGAATAATACGGGGAAAACGATTTTTTCCGGTTTCGATGAGTTGCCTCGTTGGAATATTGCCATCTGGAGATTACAAATGTTTGCAATTTATAATATGGTAGTCATTTGACATGAAAAAATTTAGTACAACTCACTGTCAAGTGGTTGAAGTGATAGGATTTTTCAATTCTAAACCTCAATCCTATCACTTCAATCACTTGACAGTGAGTTGTACTAA